CATATTACAAGAATCCCAATTCATGATTTGAAAAACGAAGCGACAACTACAACATTCACCGCAACCAAAAACGCCCAATGATATCAGATGGCCCCCCTCGGACAACATATCAAAAAGCTTGAACCAAGCAATCCTTTTTCTGAAGCAATTGCCGCAAAGCTCTTCGGCTGCCACAAAGAACTGCAAAAGTCACCTGTGCCAGAAAAAAAATAGAAATAGTCGGCAATATGAAAGGTTTCCACATGTCAATTCACAGATTTCTGCCCTACGAATTGCACCAGTCAAACAAAAACGTAATTCCTACGTCTATGAAGCCTACTTCATACCATGCAAAGAAGCGTCTGAGGGCAACACAGTTGAAGATGCTTGCTTCGTCTCCGTCGCTGAAGCTGCACCTGACACGCAAACAAGTCTCTGATATACATGAAAAAAACACTCGCAACCAGAGGTACAAGAAAGAAACAACTTTACCATTACACACTCTAGAGGCTGAGGACATGACTCGACGACCGAAGCATTTCAAAAAGGACAAAATCCTGAAAACACAAGGATCATTCCGAGCGAGGACAAAGAACAAAAAGACAACACATACCCAAGAAGAAAGAACGGTGATCACAAAACTTCTCTGAGCAAATGGCTGGTCGCAGGACTTATGCTCCTAGTCTTCGAGGGCTGCCTCCCAAAGATCAAGCGACTTGTTGCAAAATCAGATGAAATACATCAACGTACATATATACACATAAACAAAATCCCATAGATATAGATATGTATATATATGTGTGTGTGTGTCATTTTGTCCATATGTGTAGATACATAGGCAGATAGCTAAATAGATACTTACAAAGATAGAGAACTAAATACATAGATGGCGAAAGAAACCGGAAAAATAATAAATATGAATATGTAGGTTTCAAAATTGCTTGCTGATTGTCTGATTGATTGGCTCATTGATGAATGATGAGCTGAAGACATATGAACAGCCTGCGCCAACCTGCAAATCAGCGGCCAGCGGATAGAACCTGCACCAAACACCCACGTGCTTGAAGAACCAAAAAAAAAACACAAACCACAACCCGCCGCCTCGTCGAACAACTTCTGACGATGGGATGGGAAGTCAAGAACCTTGGAAGCGAAGCGGCGCCAAAGAACACAAGAGAAAGGCAAACAACATTAAGAAACATCAAAAAAGCAAAGAAATCAAATCCACTCAGGACAGCACGTTTCGCGACCGCATCTTCTTAGCCCATAAAACGTCCTCTTCCGTCACTTCAAAAGCCTCGGTCACAACACCCAAGAAAGGAAAATTACAGCGACTAGCCGCATTGCACTGACCATAAGCTGTGAAAACAATGCCGACAAGATACGAAGTGCCCCAACAAGTCCTCAGCACCGACTGGGCCGGAAAGCGATTCCTGCGCCCAGTCGGTGTACCGCATAGCCTTATGCCAAAGCTTGGGCGGCACAGACCAGGTGTGGTTGCCATGTTGGTCAACCCACCAGTCCTGCAAGTCATAAAAGACAACATGCATCAAGCTGAAAACCCCACGTGCAAATACAACGCAAAATGCACATGTCTGAAAAATAAACTTGCTTCTTCTGGGTTCGGGGTCCAGAAGGCCCAGGGTCCAGATTTGGCGCCGGACCCTTTAAAACAAGCATTTTTTGAAAGAAAAAAATCGAGTTTTGGAGAGCCTTGAAATTTTGGAATTCTTAGGGTTGGGTTCGGGGTTCCGGGTTTTGGAGTTCTGGGTTCGGGGTCTTGCTTCTTGTGGGTTTGGGGTCCAGAAGGCCCAGGGTCCAGATTTGGCGCCGGACCCTTTAAAACAAGCATTTTTTGAAAGGAAAAAATCGAGTTTTGGAACGCCTTGAAATTTTGGAATTCTTAGGGTTGGGTTCGGGGATCTGGCTTTTGGAGTTCTGGGTTCGGGGTCTTGCTTTTTTTTGGGTTCGGGGTCCAGAAGGCCCAAGGTCCAGATTTGGCGCCGGACCCTTTAAAATAAGCATTTTTTGAAAGGAAAAAATCGAGTTTTGGAAAGCCTTGAAATTTTGGAATTTTTAGATTTGGGTTCGGGGTTCTGGCTTTTGGAATTCTGGGTTCGGGGTCTTGCTTCTTGTGGGTTCGGGGTCCAGAAGGCCCAGGGTCCAGATTTGGCGCCGGGCCCTTTAAAACAAGCATTTTTTGAAAGGAAAAAATCGAGTTTTGGAACGCCTTGAAATTTTGGAATTCTTAGGGTTGGGTTCGGGGATCTGGCTTTTGGAGTTCTGGGTTCGGGGTCTTGCTTCTTCTGGGTTCGGGGTCCAGAAGGCCCAAGGTCCAGATTTGGCGCCGGACCCTTTAAAATAAGCATTTTTTGAAAGGAAAAAATCGAGTTTTGGAACGCCTTGAAATTTTTGGAATTCTTAGGGTTGGGTTCGGGGATCTGGCTTTTGGAGTTCTGGGTTCGGGGTCTTGCTTCTTCTGGGTTCGGGGTCCAGAAGGCCCAAGGTCCAGATTTGGCGCCGGACCCTTTAAAATAAGCATTTTTTGAAAGGAAAAAATCGAATTTTGGAAAGCCTTGAAATTTTGGAATTTTTAGATTTCGGTTCGGGGTTCTGGCTTTTGGAATTCTGGGTTCGGGGTCTTGCTTCTTGTGGGTTCGGGGTCCAGAAGGCCCAGGGTCTAGATTTGGCGCCGGGCCCTTTAAAACAAGCATTTTTTGAAAGGAAAAAATCGAGTTTTGGAGAGCCTTGAAATTTTGGAATTCTTAGGGTTGGGTTCGGGGTTCCGGGTTTTAGAGTTCTGGGTTCGGGGTCTTGCTTCTTCTGGGTTCGGGGTCCAGAAGGCCCAAGGTCCAGATTTGGCGCCGGACCCTTTAAAATAAGCATTTTTTGAAAGGAAAAAATCGAGTTTTGGAAAGCCTTGAAATTTTGGAATTTTTAGATTTGGGTTCGGGGTTCTGGCTTTTGGAATTCTGGGTTCGGGGTCTTGCTTCTTTCTTCCGGGTCCACAAAGCCCAGGGTCCAGATTTGGCGCCGGACCCTTTAAAACAAGCATTTTTTGAAAGGAAAAAATCGAGTTTTGGAACGCCTTGAAATTTTTGGAATTCTTAGGGTTGGGTTCGGGGATCTGGCTTTTGGAGTTCTGGGTTCGGGGTCTTGCTTCTTCTGGGTTCGGGGTCCAGAAGGCCCAAGGTCCAGATTTGGCGCCGGACCCTTTAAAATAAGCATTTTTTGAAAGGAAAAAATCGAGTTTTGGAAAGCCTTGAAATTTTTGAATTTTTAGATTTGGGTTCGGGGTTCTGGCTTTTGGAATTCTGGGTTCGGGGTCTTGCTTCTTGTGGGTTCGGGTCCGTCCTTTTGTGGGTTTATCCTCTGCCTTTTATGGGTTCGGGGTGGCTTCCTGTGGGTTTGGGGTCTTGCCTTTCATGTTGAGATTTTATCTAAGTTTCCAGAAAGCTTCCAGAAGCTTTGAAAAGGATCCAGAAGCACCCAGAAGGCTTCCAAAAGCTATCAGACGCTTCTTCAAAGCTCTATGAATATAAAAGAACAATAAAGAAAAGTTGATGGTTTTTAGCCTTGGGTTCGGGGTGGGTTCGGGGACCCTGAGGCAGACGAAAGGTATATTAAGGTTTAAATATACATTTGATATAATAGTTAAGATTTGTGTATGTGCTGCATTGTGCTGCTCAAAGTTTATTTAGGGTTGATTCAGGATGTATTTGGGATTGGTTCGTGGTTGGTTTAGGTGTTATTTAGGGTTGGTTCAGGGTTTCTTTAGGAAAGTCTATGTAGGTCTTGCTTCCGGTGTCTTTAAGGTTGGTTTGGTTTAGGATTTATGTAGGATTGGTTTGTGGTTTACTTGGGTTTGCTCAGGATTTATTTAGGGATTTAACAAGTGTTCTTTAGTGTTGGTTTATTTACGGTGGCTTAAAGGGTTTATTTGGGGTTGGTTTAGGGATTATTTGCGATTGGTTTAAAGTTGATTTTGGTTTCGCTTACAACTTATTTAAGGTTCGTTTAGGTTTCGTATAGGGTTTATGTAAGATTTGTTTAGGGTTTATTTGGGGTTACTTTAGGGCTGATTGAGGGTTCGTTTAGGATTGGTTTAAGACTTACTTTGGCTTGGGGTGGTTTAGGGGTTATTGAGGCTGATTTAGAGTTTTTTTACGACTGGTTGAATTAAGGATTATCTTCAAAATGTCTTAAGGCACTAGAGTCACCAAAGGACGGAAGGACCAAGGGACTGAGGACCAGAGTCAGAGGACCAAGGGACCGGAGGACCAAGGGACTAGAGGACCAAGGGACCAGAGGACCAAAGGACCAAGGGACCAAGGGACCAGAGGACCAAGGGAAAGGACTGAAGGACCGGGAGATTCAAAGACCACAAGATTTGAAAATGGCATAAAATGGCCAAAACACTGCACCAGCGCAGGTAAAATGAATATGTTTGTTTTATCCCTTAAATATGTTTTCATTGACAATATTTATTTTTTGATGCCTTAACTATATATATATATTATATTATATATATATTATATTATATATATTATATTATATATATATATTATATTATATATATATGTTTTTTTTTGAACCCCATGCCTGCATATCCGGAGTATAGACATCACCATGGCCCACGAGGGGAATTCAACAGCTACCAGGCTTTGTGAAGTCATTGGATGCCCTGCAAAAGCCATGGCATATGGCAATCATTTGTGAAGTCATTGTAGCTGTAAGAATCAAATCATCGGAACAGGGCTGTTGCTCATAGGGGAAGCCATAAAAAAGTATCAGATTAATACGATTTCAGGATATTTCAGGGGCACCCCTGATTTCTAATCAACCTGGGTGGGTAAATCATGGTAAATCCTAATCCATGGTAAATCTTAATCCGGGCTTGACATTACCCTCTGGTAAACTAACATAACTATGGAAAATCACCATTTTTAATGGGTAAATCCACTATAAATGGCCAGTTTCAATAGCTATGTCAGCCATTCCCAGAGGGTAACCCATTAGTCCTGTAAAAGCCAGGGATTGACTCGAAGACAGCATCGCTCTCGATGACACCACTACCACTGCTGCTTCCCTCAGATCTGTCCAACGGCATCGGAAGTGCTTCTGAAAACGAACCCCCGAGCTGGATGCAAATGAGATAGGGTCACTGATTCAAAAATATGAGTTTGTCTGAAAATGGGGGATTGACATATTGACCTCCAATTTATGGCAATGCGAATGGGGAAAATGCTGATCATTAGTGATCATCCACAAGATGTGGGTCCTATTTTTCGACAGTCATACCAATTTGAATCAGCCGGGGCTGCCCAATATCCCCGGTATCTCCCCCCAATCTTTCGATCTTCCGCTACTCGCAACGAGCTCGGGGGGTTCGGCCGCACCAAAAAGGGGACTTGTGCCAAAGCGGCTGCGACGAGACATGGAGCTGGAAAAATCAGACATGGAATTGCCGCACACCATGGCCTAAATGTTCTTAAATGATCTTAAATGGAATATGATGGATTTAAGAACAATGGCATCCAAATTTTCTTGGAGATGGGTATTTCTTAAATGATCTTAAATGATTTGTCATGGATTTGGATAGCATACCACATCTCCAAGAAAATGTCCCATTTTTATTAGAAAAAAAACTGCTCGAAAACATCCATTGTCGGCAAATGATCGAAATGACCCCCATTAGGAAATAGAAAGGCACCGGTCATCTAAGGCTCTTAAAGTCCCAGCATCTCAAAAAAACGTGGAAGACTGCAACAAGGTCGAGGACAGGACTCAAAATATCTCAAAATCATCATGTTGAGCGAGGGTATTCCCAGCCGACATGAAATCTGGAAAGTGTCCAATGAAATGCTGTGGTTGGTACCCCATCACAGAAAAGCATGATAAGTCGGGATCATGCGGCTCGAAGATGCTCGAAGCACGATCCAAATCTTCCCGGCGCGTCCAGAAAAAATGGGCGCTGAAAAATCACCCGACCATTGGATTACAGCGAAAATCATCAACCATTGGATTTGGGAGGTGCACATGTCTTTTTTACCCATATGGCAGTGTGTCAAAACCTTGTACCCCTGGTGAACATCAAAATAGCTGGAAAATGGATGTTCACCCCACTAAAAATGGTATTAATAGGTATTGATCCATAGCCATATGTGGCTGGGGTTTACCCTATAGTAACTGTTGGAAACTTTTGGATAGTTTTTGGATGGTAAAACGGCAATGCTACAGCAGAGATCACCGGTACAGTACGCTGTTTGGAATACAGGACGATCAATGGTTTGTAACCATGTTGGAAGAAGTGTGGGTTGGTCAAAGAATTGGGGTGCCCAAAAAGCTACAAGAATAATTGTTATCAGTATATAGGGAATCATGAAATACTTATCGGTAGTTGGTTTTTGACCCAAAATGACCCATTTCGCCAGCTTGATTCTTGGCTTGGCCAGGCCATGTTCAGCCCAAAAAAACAGTATAGATTGATGCCAATTCTTGGACATCCTGGACCATTCACAGCCCGTAGTAGGATACCCTAAACCAACGCCAAGTGACATCCCAGAAGCCAAGAACTTCTCAATGCGCTTCTCGTGCTCAGTCGTCCAATCCTCAGGATTGATTTCGGCAAAAATGCGGACTGGAAATCTGCCATGGGCCCATGCCATGGGCCATGGAGAGTGAACAGAAATATTAATCACCATTATGGTATGTAAGATTTGCCCATTTAAATTGGAGAGTGAACAATGGATAATGTGATTAATCACCATAAATGTAATTTACATTGATTGCCCCCATTTATGGATAATTCACCATGGTATGTAAGATATTGTAAGATACAAAAATTATGTATCAATATGGGTAACCATGTAATTATTCATAGGTAGTATCACTTACGGATCATAATTATGATTTGATCCCAGATGCCCAGTTGAACATGGTGATGTCCCCAGTTGAACCGGAAGGTCAGACCCCATCTCGGCATCTTTGGCATCCCACTAGGGCACCAGTGATGTGAACGTTGGTTTATAAATCATGATCACCAAAAAACATCCATTATCTAAGTAACTACTTCGTTATATGTTAACATTATGTCATCGAAAAATATCTACCATCAACATCCATAAACCATATAGATTTCAGCCACTAAAAGTACCCAAATCGATACCAAGAGTCGCTCCTCTCCAGAATTGAGGGCCGTTTCCCCCGAAGGGCCACTGCGCCGCAGCGGTCTCGTAAGGCCCATTCGTCCTGAAATTCAGCGCGCTTGAGCCGATCTTCGTAGGGGGGTCACCCAACCGTTATTAGTTGGTTGATTACCATCTATTAATATCTATTAATGACGTTTGTTTGCCATCGATCAATGATCACTAATGATATCTAATGATCACAAAAAAAAAAAAACTAGATATATACTGTAATCTGAATGGAGAAAGAATCGAGAAACAATCGAGAATTGCGGTATGTGAATATATGTGATTTCTTTCATGGATTTTCAGCATGTGGAAAATTCAACAATAAACCATCCCCAATGGAGGTTGGGATTGGTTGGGTACACCCCAGTAGGACTGGAAAGGATCCAACTCAAGGCCAAAGGTCTCAAGCAGGGCCACGTGATGCCACGTGTATCATCCACAATGCAACATCCATTCTGTGCAATGAGTGTACCTTGGAAAACCTAAAAATAGAATAGAGAATGGAGAATAAAGAGAACAGAGATTGAATAGAAAATAAAGAGAATAAAGAGAAAAAAAAGAGAATAAAGAGTATAAGGAGAAGAGAGAATAGAGAATAGAGAATAGAATATATAGAATAGAAAATAGAATAGAGAATATAGAATATAGAATATAGAAGATAGAAGATAGAATTATACCCTTGTTCCTTCTCTGTTTGCTTCTCTGTATTTATGTTCTGCCCTGCCCCCCCTCTCTATCCCTTGATATACCTTTGTTCCTTCTCTGTTTGCTTCTCTGTCTTTATTTTCTGTTCTGCCATCATCCCTTTATATCAGTTTAGAAAAAATAAAAAAAATGCACTAACGACCAGCCAAAATAGAATACAATAGAATAGAATAGAATAGAGAAGAGAAAAGAAAAGAAGATAATATCATAGAATATAATAAACAGCAATTTCTGCAGGTTTACAGTTAATATCAATTATAGAATAAAGTTTGAGGTTTAAAACCTATGACATCTCATGAATCTTCCCAAAATGCTGAATCCACACGTAACGTGTTGAACGTCGGGCACACAATTATCATCGCGCCTGGCACCAGCTTGCCGCATAGAAGCAGAAATGGTGGACGCGGCGCAGGTACAGCACCTTTTGGGGATTCAACCCCCAGCGGGGCCCCATCCCAGGCAGGGAGCATGGCAATGGGCTGGCTTCAATTTCCAGGTGGGGAGCTATCTTGAAGCCCTTTTGTAATAAACTTAGTAAAACTTGTAGGGGACACACAAAAGGAAAGAAACCTCTTGTAGACCATGGAAAAAACCCGATAAAAACGTGGTATCTGTTAACGTTCGGGATGATTCATGGGATGTTAATTACAGGGATGATGATTTGGGACAATTTGGGATCATGATATAGGGATGACTCGGGACTAGGATGGTCCCTCTTTGGCCCTGAAATTTATCTCGTCCAGGCGTGCGGCGCTTGCCCAAGATTTTCAACCATGAGATCATGAGATTGCCAGGAATGGGTTTTAAAATCCATCCCCAGTCATGGCATGTGGCAAAGTCAGTTCTCTAAATCGGAGACCTGGCTGCTTCACGATGCAATCTATCGATGCGTCCGAAGGTGTGGTTACTCGAATGGTGAAATAGATATGTGGTAGCCCTCGAATGGAAATCCCAGCATAACATCAAAAACAAAATGATCGAGTCCGAATCGTGTACCTTCCAAGGGTATATCGCCCCTATTTATCCAAACGGAGCCATTATTGTTGGTTAGATCAAGATTATTGTTTAAACCACCATTTTTCTTGGTTAAATCATGTTAAATCACCATTGTTCTTGATTGCATCACCATTTTCGGTGTTAAATCACCATGTTTCTTGGTTTGTTCACCATTTCTATGGCTTCAACCACCATTTTAGCTCCTAAAAATCATGTTAAGTCATTTGTCGTGCTTAAACCCACCATTTTTCCTTGTGAAACCCACCGTGCGCCTGCAGGTCCAACTTCAACTCCGTGGAGCCGGGATACTGCAGGATGTACTCGGTGGCCTGGAGCTGGGAAAGAATGGATTTTTCCAAATTGTAGATGTTATATCTATAGATATATATGAAAATCTATATATATATATATGTAGAGAGAGAGAGAGAGATCTGTGTATACATGTATATATATATATATTGTACATACATCTGAATATATTTACCGTAGATATCACATGATCCCAAGAAGGCTACAAATGGTATCCCCGGCACGCCTCGTGGCAAACCTCCAACAAGGCATCCAAACGTCGTAGCACCTGGCAATGCTCCAAAGAATATCCAATGCCTATGCCAAATGGCCCATTTACCCTCTGGTAAACTAACATAGCTATTGAAAATGACCATTTGTAGTGGATTTTCCCATTAAAAATAGTGATTTTCCATAGCTATGTTAGTTTACCAGAGGGTAATGATGATTTACTCAGCAGTTGTAGTTCACTAAGTTGGTAGTTAAGTTGGTTTATAAGTGTAAGAACTGCTATTTGTCGTGGATATATGTATATATGTGTGTTATCACAACTAGGGGACAACCTTGTGTTTCATGGCTCAAGACCATCAACTTGTTTGAAGGTTTGCTTCGATGAAGCCACCAAATGTTGGGCTTCACTTTGAGGAGGCCTACACTTTAAGTGTTAGATTTCCATTGGTTTTTGGTTCAATCATCGGTTGGGATGTTCAAGATGGATGTTTCATGATTTATTACAACCGAGAATCTGCGGTCACCATCCCCATGTGAGCAGTGTTCATTCTAGCCTCTGTCTTCCCAAAACTGGCAACCTTGTTACTGGGTGATTTCATAATCATCCATAAACCAGGTAACCAGATAGGTGAATAGCCCCCTATAACTTTATAATTAACAACCAGCGATCATTGCTATCAACTTGTCATGATTTTCTGTGCTTAGACACCTATCAGGTTGATGAAAAATCGAATCAACTATTCGCCATTTGTCAAGTGTCTTCAATTGGTCACTGTTATATATACCATCTGGTTATGACATTCACAGTTTGCCATGGAAAGATACACCATGCTATTAATAGGTAAACCATCTATTTCGATTAGGGCCATCTATACCATGGCTATGTTAAATAACCAGAGGGTATATAATATAATGTGTTCTTTAAATTCCACTTACTGTAATTAACTCATCAACTGTCAACATCAACCACCCTTCCCTAGGATAATATCCATGTTGTTTGGCGGTTAAACCCGAATCTGATGGTTTTATCCATCATTGATCAATCTATTCCAAGCGGTGAAAAGAATATATATATATATACATAGTATAATTACAGTATATAACCAATATCAGATTTGAGCTATAGCGAAATAATGGTGGTTACCCTCCATTAATCAAACATGGCAATCGGAAAAACCAAAATTATTTAGAGGTGAATCATTACTAATGTGCCACTTTCCATAGCTATATTTGCAATATTAGTTTACTGGAGGGTAAATCCATTTAGCCAAGATATCCAAGATATTGTTTTTTTTTAAATCCCATTCGTCATCAACCAACCGGGGTTTTTGTTAACCACTGCTCATTTCATACCATCTGGCAAATTATAATAATCTCCAATAATCCAGGTAGGTTAATAACTTCCGATGATAACCAATCAATCCATTGTCAATCTTTGATAGTCCACAAATGGAAAAAACTGTTGCGGGTAGTGGCCATTTATAGCAAAAAAAAAACGGATTTTCCACTACCTATCCAGTTGGTTGGGGATAAATCCAAATAGCTTTTGTTTCATCTGGTAAATTAGCATAATCTCCAATAATCGCATTAATCCAAGTAGGTCAATAGATGTCAATAACTCCCTATAACTTTTATAGATATTGGTATATTGGTTGTTGGTAGATGGTTGTTATCCCTATTTAGATTGATTATTAAAATAAGTCCAATAATCAATCATAATATAGGGATAACATTTAGTTATTCAACTTGGTCCAATAATAAACCATAAATAATATATGTTAATAAGTCCTATAATCACGAATCAATCCAGGTCGTATTTTTTCTATGGCACGTTTCACCCGGAACCGCCTCCGCCGAAAGCTCCAAGTCCCGTTGCAGTCGTTCCGGGAGAGACATCTCAGGGGGCAAGACGAAGGCCTCGGGGATGCTGCGATGCTGCGATGCTAGGAGGATTTTGAGGGAAGATCATGGGAATATACCATGGAGGTATACAATATTTATGGAGGTTTCCTTAGTCATGGGGGTACCCCTGTTCATCATCCATTTTTGTGTTGGGATGTTCCTTGATAAGTCCCATCCAGCTATTGGGGTAGCCCCATATAATGTAGGGGATCCGATGCTCCGTGATTTCCCCATTGAAAATGGATCAGTTATAGATGATTCACAGGTCAAGATGGTGATTTTCCATGGCTATGTTGGTTTACAGGAGGGCAAGTTGAGGTTTCTAGATTATGAAGATTAATCTATAAATGCTTCAGAAGATGAGGCCTTAAGCAAGAAAACCTTGATTCCAGCTCCCCTGCTCAGTTAGTTTAACTTCTAGCGGTTGCATATGATTTACAAGAGTTGTCCAAAAAAGAAAAAGGTTATATAACCAAAAGTTTGATGAGTGATCAGTGATCATCATGATCATGTCCTTACAAAACATGCGATAAATTAGGGTGTCCCCCCCGGTTGTTGGACAGACCCACGTCATTATTGTTGGCTAAACCCCCTGTGCATATTTAGTTTTGGTTTGAAAAATGACAACAAATTGCAGTGTCATATTGCTGATTATATATCCAATTATCCCTAAGAATATCCCATTTAATCCCCATTGGTCTTGGTTAAATCCACATTGAATGGCCATTACGTCGCAATTCTCTGAGCCATTCAGTTCCATTTTGAGTTGGTTTATTAACCATCTATAATACTACAGGGCTTGGTAAATGTCACGTTTTTCAGCGTGAAAAACCCAACTCTTGGGGATTTTGTGGCGGAAAATCTCCTTGATCCCCAGGGACATGAAACCCAAGCGATCTAGCTAGTCAAGTTCTAGGTCAAGTTACAAGGGGAGTCATTGTTTCCCATGAATGATCATCCTGACCTACCAACCCCTCTGAAAAATATGGTTTACAATGGTTTACAATGGTTTACAATGGTTTACAATGGTTTACAATGGTTTACAATGGTTTACAATGGTTTACAATGGTTTACAATGGTTTACAATGGTTTACAATGGTTTACAATGGTTAATGGTGGTTAATGGATGGTCAATGGATGGTTAATGGATTGTTATTATAATATGATATATCTGGTTGATGGTTGACCTACCCCTCAGAAAAATCTGACTTCGTCAATTGGGATCATTATTTCCAATATGATGGGAAAGTCATAAAATTCCATGGTTCCAAACCACCAAGCAGATTATCCATTAACCATTATCTATTAACTCATCCATTTTCCATAATCCATGAACCATTAAGAATATTAACATATATTAACCATTAATTTCCAAACCACCAACCAGTAATGGTCATATGAATCCCTAATTATCGACCATCCTCCAGTGACGGTAAAAACGAAGCGTGATTTCGGGCCTGTTGCCATTTGATCATTTTCCATACATATTCCATTCATATTCCATTAAATATATAACAGATTATAGCGATATATGTACATTATGATGTACATCATGAACCATATACAATATATATATATATTATATTCATATTCCATTCATGTGGGTAAAACAATAATAAACCATCCCCCAGTCATCACCATTTTTATAGGTAGCATGTTGACCATTCCCAGTCATGGCTGGTTTATGGCATCGTTTTAACCACATTAATACTTCTAGATACCCTCTGGCAAACTAACATAACTATGGAAAATCACAATGTTTAGTGGGTAAATCAAATATTTCTATGGCCATTTTAAATAGCAAACAGTTAGTTTACCAGTTCAATGGGTAAATCAACTATTTCTATGGCCATTTTCAATAGCAAACAGTTAGTTTACCAGATGGTATCTATTACGATCCCGTGCTCGGCATCCGCACACTCAGCGGAGTCAGACCGCACAGCTGTGCCACCGCACAGCTGCCATCCTGCGAAGGCGAAAAAAACGAGACGAAGGCGATGTTGGGCGAGATGTTTTATGAAAACACGCAGAGATGTATATTTATTATATGTATTTCTATAACATTCTATATGTATAGATGTATATATATATAGACATATATAATCATATATATACACGCAATCTCTAATCAAATATGTAATTATTATATGATATGCATGTAATTACATTCATATTCTTTGTGAAGACTCGAATGGGCATCTTAGAGAATAGCAATTCTAGATAAGGGAAACGTTAACCCATCCCTAGAGGATCTACAGTATTCATTATCAAATATTGCCCAAACATCCGAAAACGATCTAAAACTCAACAACCATCAAAAAGCCTACCAATCTGTAAATCCATTTTAGATCAACAAAACTCCGCTCTAAAGATCCATTTTGGATTCAAAACAATCCTTGAAGCCTTCAACCCCATCTCGAAAACAAAAAAGTGACGAAGTTCACTCTCATTTTTTCAAGAATTGTCCTTGACTTCCCCAATGTGCATGGTTTTTCCCAGATCCAAGAGTTTTCCCCAAAATTTCCATCATTTTCCCAGGTTTTCCCAGAGTTTCCATCATTTTCCCAGGATTTCCCAGGTGACTTCCATCAAACCCACAGGCCTCCCTCAGCAGTTGCAGTTTCCCTAGCGCTTCCATGGCCTGCCGCGCCTCCCGCGAGCTGCGGAAGCGCGCGTGGAAGCTGCGCGGAGCCAACGTGGAGCTCCAGGAGGCGGTGCAAAAGCCGCCGCAGTCCTGGAAAAGTAGGGATCATTGGACATGACTTGGAAAGTTGGTAATTTTTATAGGGATACATATCATATAAACAATATATACAATATATATATATATATAATGGAAATCTATATATATATGTATATATGTCCTATGATGAAAAGTTGGTGATTTTTATACGGATGATATGGGATAATCATTCGGATAATCTATGTATTTCATAGGGATAATATATTTCATAGGGATGATAGTTTGTCATAGTGTTGGTGATTTGTATAAATACATATATATATATATACTGTTTAATATGGTTGGTTCTTAGGGATCTTAGCCAACCAGATATCTTTCAGACATTTTCAGGGATGCGCTATCAAAGTATGGACTCAGGTGCCGGGAACCTTGGACTCAGGTCCCTATCTGATAGGGATGATAATACTCTATCTATCTATCTATCTATATATATAGTGTGTATATATATATACGTATATATATATGTTTTCTGATATAATTGCTTATCATCAATATCACCAACGAAAATCTGGAGAACTGGGGTAGTTATTCACAATCTAACCATATCATAGCTGATCCCAAATAGTTTCGCTATTGACCATCGAACCATATTAAGATCATTGGGGATTGGGGTAGAATATCAACTATGAAAAGGGGAATATCCTGTAATTATTAGCAAACTAACCATATCATAGTTGGTAGTTTCAATTCTCTAACCACCATCTCAGGATGAAGCAAACAATTATCTAAGCAACTGTAATGATACCAAATAGTTTGGAACTATTGTCGAAGCAATGAATACTGTATATTATATGTTAATCATCATAAATCAAGTGTAAAAATAAAAATTCAAACTTTCTGACAGTATCATGTGGTTGGGAAACACCCCATGCATAGCTCCAACTGGCTCCCCATGGCTAAATTGTTGGGAATATAGATACCCCAAATACGCTCCGAATCGCTCCCTCCATACGACTATCATCCAGTGTGGATTTCCCATGGTGATAGTCTACCCCCACAGAACCATCCACTGACGATTCATTTTCTGGCCAGTCTTCGCTATTGGCCATAGGTATACTACCCATTCCTCAATGTTTTCCAGATACATAAGTTATAATATATTGTATAATTTTCAGTTTACATAGTATATTATAGTTCCCATGAATTTTCCCCAGTATTTCCAATATCCTCCTTCCCCATGTGGGTAGCAATCCAACAACTTTAGTTGCTTATTCTAAAATACCAAAAATGGTGATATATCGTATGACCGTATGACCATCAAAAACCATTAGTCGCATTAGTAAGGGTTTACTAACCCTCGAGTATTGGAGAAATCAGAAATTTCTCTGGTGTTTATAGTGGTTGTTTATAGCGGCAAATATGTGTTGCAACCAGTAAACAATTGGAGACAAGTGATAAAAAAAAAGGTATGGTTCGTGGTGAAAACCGTGACAATCACTGGATGATTTTTCACCAACCATATTTCTAAAAAAACGGAGGTGTCTAACCATAAAATATGTTTACTGTGTATAGTTGCCAATTAGTTTAAAACGGGGATGTTTTTGTTCACGCCACCTGTCAGGGCTAGGCGTCGCCTGGAGGTTGCTTGAGTCCCCATGGTAGGTACATGTTGTTTTGGTGGGAAAACATGGGAAAACATGTGTTTGATGAAACTCATCCATAAACCCAGCAACGTTCTTGATTTGTTCCAACTACTGCATTCTTATTTTCATTCGATTGAAATTGATTTTTTCCCAAACATGTCCACCCCAAAGTGTCCAATACGCTGATCGATGTTTCCTCCCAAAACATGTTCACTCGTTCTCATTTCACACGCTAAAACATCTTCCTGCTAAAATCCATCCTTTTTGATCAATTTTCACCAATGTTTTCCCCCGAATGCCATCTTATAATTCAATTGTATCACCAACAAAGAAAGCACCGCCGTTCTCCCTACGGTTACCATTCCTTTTCCAGGGAAAGAAACAAATGGAAGCAAGACCATCAAGACCCCTAGCATTCAGAGAAAAGAACATGTGGAGAAGAATCAAACTTGTTGGGTGGAAACACCTGAAATCAACTTGACAGTATAAAGTAGATGGGAAACATGGTGGAAAATAATGGAGGTGGGGGGGCACATCAAGTTGCATTTCTCCATTACCGGGAAGTTGGTCGTTTTGATGGGAGCACTTGGTTCAGTGGCTTCAAAAATTTAGCATAGCTATGTTTTTTGGGGTCCATGTATAGTTGGATGATTTGCCTATATATTAAATATGGTGATTACCCAATGGCCATGTTTGATTGCCAGAAAGTATGTTTCGCCCATCTATTTACCCTGAGCAAACTAACATAGATATGGAAAAAAAAAAAAAAACATTCGTGGATCATGTTCCAAATAGGAAACTCATCAATGTCATATGAATGAATTTGCCGGAGAGTAGCAGGAAACGTGTTATCATGGCCGATCTTAGATACACTGCAATTGCAGAAGGGACGCTTTCAGCTGGTTAGTCATTGATAATATTGATAGTCATCATATTCCCTTCTATTTGAAAAATATATCAGATGCAAGTATATTAGACAAAAAAGAGTACCAAACTACCCAAGGTGTTACCATATTTTACCCCAGTTGCCAGTTACTTATTGAACTTCTTTCGCTTCCCTTGCAGAATCCAATCCCGTTACGTCCTGCAGGCTTTCGTAGACCTCCCAAGCGCTCAGGTGCTTTGGCAGATCCTCGATCAGCAGCGCGCCCATGTCAGGGTCGAAGGCAAACTCTGGCGCTTGCAAATGGCCACCTTGGATTTTTGGTGTATTGAATGGGGAGGTACAATTGCTACAATTCCACTATCCTCAAGTTGATATATATATATATATTATAACCATACAATTATAGGATAACACTTATGATTCATGATCCACTTATAATCATTCATATTATATATATACATATAACCATATGGATAATAGATAACCTATATTCATATTATATAACAACACTAAATGGATAATTATAGGATATCATAGGGGAATCTGTAGATCCCAACTTGGACCCCTCCAATACGATAGGATGATAAGAGTTTCAATTTATCTTCCTGAAAGGTGAAGACAAATGGATATGTGATATGATATTATATATATATCATAAAAGAAAAATAATAATAATAACAATAATAATAATTAATAATAATAATATTTTTATATATATTATATAAAAAATAATAATAATAATAGTATATATATATATCATAAATATAATAAAATAAAATATAATATAATATATAATGCATATGTTTTTGAAGGAAATTCAGAATCGTCACTGCCACTAACAAAATAACCACTACGATCTTTGGGAATGGGTGTCAACGCTAAACCGATGAACTACTAATCAATTGCCATCCCAGCGTCGTGGTATGGGTCAAAAATGGGATGGTTTAATAGTAGTCTTTTGCCAATCTGCACCCAGGCTCTTAAATATTCGAAAAAAATGTTTCCCCATCCCCGTTTTCTCTCATGCTGAACTGGTGGATACTCGATCATCGTGAGCCAAAAGTAGTACCCCATCCCATCCCATGGCAGTTACCCAAGGCACTGACGGAACATCGGCCTTCCATGTTGGGTCGCTCGGTGGTGCTGAGATTCAACCCGTCAAACCTGCACCAGGGTGAGGTGAGGAACGAGCGAGGAGCTGTCCAAAAAATGCGAAACTTTCCCCTGAAAAAAACCAGGAGGGTTTCCGATGATTCCGGATGAACATCATAAAAAACATAGGCAATGTCCCATTGAATTGTACGGACTAGATATCTGGCCGAATGATTTCCAACACAGAATAACATATAATACATTATAATATAATGGATGGATGATGATGGATGTAACCTGCCCAAAATTCTAGGTGGAAAATCCTGGGAAGGGTGCAAGTTTGAGGCTCCCAATCTTGACCATTGTTTTATTTGCAGATTCACACCATTGGAGATGGACTTTAAGCAACCTGACACCCTGAGCTTAAGCTCCTCCCCCCCAAAAAAAAGAAAACGTGTCATTCTGCATATGGATGAAGCGAGCCCAATAGATGGAAAACAGTTGGAGATCCGGAAAGATAAGAATGATCAGTAATATCTATCAGTTAATATCCTGAAAAACTCGTGCAACGTGGCATCCACATGGCATTTTCTCTTCATTTCATCCCATTGAGCAAGCGGTAAAAATAACCCATACAGAAGCAGAAAAAGAACCTGTTCAGAACTGGCTGATACTGGCTCATAATATGCTGATGTGCCACTGGTGCCACTTGCATTTCCCAAAGGCGGCCCCCAGGTAGTTTGGGGGAACTTGCCCCATCTGTCCATATCTTTTCCCCACCATTCCCCACCTGCCCTCGCAGAGATCCGTCACGAAGACGGAAGCGTTCAAACGCGCTTCATGCAGCCGCAAGTCATAGGCTCGCAAACGTGCCACGGGGTCATACCTGGCCACGGGGTGATATAATCGATCCAGTACTGAAGCAGCTTTCTGAGGGGGTATTTCAAACGTGGGTCATCTATGGGCAAGCTGCTGAAACCATCTGAAACCCCCCAAAAACGGATCAAACGTCAGAAAGATTCAAAAAACAAACGACATGATGATTGGTGGAACCAAATTTAAATCGAGAATTGTAGGATGAGAAAGGCATCGACGAAGTATATACTGCAGTGGGGTGATCTTCAGTTACTGAGTTTGTCGAGACAAGCATCAAGAAGCAAAACAGACAAATATGAAAAATGCTCACATCCAGTCGCTAGCCCCCTATAGCCCCCTTTCAGTAGACATCCATGCCACACACAGGGGTTGGTAACTGTCCCATTTTGGGTATATTGGACATCACCTTATAGTAGCCATTATAGACCATATACCATTCATGGTTGGGTGATGTTCAATGGGGACATTTAATGACCCATGACACATGTCCCGCCTGTCAAAGAAGAATCCCGTGTCCTTCACCTTCTCCAAGTCCTTCTGGGACGCCTCGCGTAAGTACTTCTGGAAAGCCTCCGCGGAGCCGACCACGGCATCCGCGCCAATTTTGCAGCACCCCCTTCCACGAAACCGTGGTTTCATAGGGGATGAAATACCATGAAATACCCATTTAAGGCATCGCTTGGCTATGAGGAAAAATGAGTTGATACATGTTGATACTCCAAATCTGATGCTTTAAGACACTTTAATACTGACATCGACTTGGGCTTAGACTCAAATTGATTCCTTGCTGGATCTGGATCCTGATGTTTTGACCTGATGTTTTGACCTATCCCTGGCTTTTAAAGACTCCCCAAGATCCATGATGGAAATGCCAATCGCTGGAAATTTTCGGTAAACCTAGTAATAGATGTAATAGTAATAACATGTAATAACATTTCAGCCTTCCAGAGGGGTTGATGAGAAGTGGCGTGCCCATATATTGCTTGATGATGTTTTTAATGACAACTACAGAGGCTTGGTTAATCTTGGTTACTGGGATGGTTCATCAGATTGTAATCCATTTCTAATCATTTCAATAATGACCCAAAAAAACGATCCCCAAAAAACCATCCCATAATCATCCCGTCATTCTAGAAAAAAAGTCCCAATCATCATTCCAACTATCATCCCAATCATCTCATAATTCCACACTGACTGGGTTTAAACCAATGGGTTTGTCTGAAAATATGGTACCCTAAAATCTCATGGAGGTAATCACGTAGATTCCATCCAACTTGACATTTCAAACTTAAGCACTGATATCACCATAAGCATCCGTGACTGGTCGTTGGTTCCAATCGGTTTCAGTCCCCCTTGGTTGAATATGCTTGTCATGGGGGGATCAATCATGAAAATTCACACCCAAAGATATGACATATTTCAAACCACAAACTAGTTACCATAGTTACCCTCCAGTAAACTAATATAGATATGGAAAATCCACCATTTTTCGAAACCATGTCCGAAAAATGACATAACTACCTTGGAATTCCATAGTGATATTCTTTCAAACGTTTCAAACGGAGGCTGCTTTCCTTGCCGGTGAATTCCCCGTGTTAAATTCATCCCAGTCTTAGCACATAGCCACAAGCACCATGTTTGTTGGTTATATCATAACCGCTTATCCCATTAAAATCCCATGAAGATAATTGGTGGTTGACCTACCCCTCTGAAAATATGAGTCAGTTGGGGCCCGATGACATTCCCAATATGATGGGAAAGTCATAAAATTCCATGGTGCCAAACCACCAACCAGTGATTATTAACCATTATTAACCATCATTAACCATCATTAACCATCGTTATCCCATACTAAACCACCAACCAGCCATTAAGATCATTAAGTCCCATGAAATCTCTCCGTTTCTTGGGGTAACCTGGTGGACCCTGGTTGACCATGCCTCCAGAGCCACATCCGGCGGCGTTCCCTCGGGCATCTGCACTACAAAGTCCCGGAAATTCAGCGGCTCGGTGGGCGGCTTGGTGTCATCTGAGATGGCAACCTGGTGAAGAAAAGCAGGTGTCCAAAGTCTTTCCAAGGTTTCGAAGGTGTTTAAGAAAAAAGTGGTTCTTGAAGGATTTTTATGTTTTAATATGCTTTGATTGGCTTTCTGTAAGCAATCTAAGCATACCTAGAGCGTCATTTGTCACAGAAACAAAGACTAAAATGAGAGTTTACCCCAAAGTGTGATTGGAACTGTTTGGTGGTTTGACCCATTTCTATGGGTATAAAAAGGACCAATGGCCAGTGGCCAGATATTCCCAACATAATACAACATGCACATCACATATACAATATTATCAATATTAACCCTAAAGAAAGAGAGGAATCAAGTAATTAGACATTGTTTTGACAGGATTTTAGCGACTTTAATTCATCCCATTCCCACATCCCACGCCTCACTCCTCTTGCGATGCTTTGGCGGCGTGGCCGCTTCCGACCCCTCGCGCCCGCGCTGGTCGTGCTGCCAGGGCTCGCCCTTGGCGTTGCGCCGCCAGCTGCGGCGCCGATGGCCCGGCTTTTCGAAGCGGCGACGGCGCGGGGTCTGGGGAGCTTGAGATTCTTTCCCTGCAGCAAGTTGAGCAAACATCCAGGTACTCGGTTGACTTATTTCGTCTATTTTCATCTACAATAATAATACCATTATTTAATATTATCTATGTTCATCAAGTCGGATGAAAGTCGGAGAGAGAGAGAGAGAGACTTTCCTCAAGACAGAGTTTCCTTCTCACCCAGCCCATGCACCCCAATTTTCACTAGGAATATTGGAAAAAAACAGCCCAATATTCAAGTAGCCCGGCCTTCCGGATGGAGGAAATGGCAGTCTCTCCTCTTACAGCTGCGGCCAAACCAACACAGCTGCCTCCGTCGAAGCGGCCTCCGCGAGCGACTGCGCAAGGCTGCGCTGCGGCTGGGGCTGCGGTAGCTGCACTGCTGGTCAGATTCGGACTGCGAGGCGGCACCTGGGCTGAGATATGGATGGAAATGCACCCAGAAATGTGGAAATTCCAATGGGATGATGGGATGATTGGATGATGGGATGATGGTGATGGTGATGCCGATGATTCACTATGATTCGCCGAATGATTCACTATGATTCACTATGATTATTCTTACGAGTAGCGCACCAACATCTCAAGCTGTCGATTTACTATATTACTATATGTCCAGGAACATGTTTTTTGGAGTGCCCTTTTACGATGAGACCTCCAAATCAATATAAACTAGATAAACTTTTATTTGTGCATCTCTGGAAGTCTATGTAAATCCCTCTCGACAGCAGAACCCTTCACTCCAGCAGAAAGTTTAGTGGTAAACCGGGTAAACCTAAAAAATAAACAACAGAAACAAATCATCAAATTTGGTTTTTTGTTTTATATTTAATGTGGTAGACCCAATGCTAAAAACATCTAAAAACCATCCCCAAGTTTGAGGTTTGTGAAATTGGGTAGACCCCTAGTGGGATGATGATGTAAAATGACCCCCAGTCATGGTTTCTGTTCACATAAACCAGAGTACCCCCCACTTAATAAACCATGGTTTTAATCAATCCGGGGTTGACATTATAAGCCATTGCCAAATGATAGATTTGTTATAGCTTGCCCAGATCTTCCTATTTTTCCCTCAATTGCCTGTTCTCTACCACCTGGCACCAATCCACTTCGCCAGGTCACCCTGTTCCTGCCCCTCCGCGTCGGACACCGACCCCTCGGCATCCTCCGCGGCCGACGCCGCGTCCTCCGAGTCCAAGTTCTCGTCGTCCGTGGTGCTGCCGCTGAGTACATCAGGACGATCCTGGTGTCCATGACGTGGGGTGACAGTCACAGGACCTGGAGGACCTGGAGGACCTGGAGGACCTGGAGGACCTGGTGTGGCCCAAAAAACCTGCTGGAGAGTCACATTGCTAAGGGGAGGGGGACCGATTGGCTCAGACTTGGACCACATGTTTCACCATTTCATCACTGATGATAGCAAAGAAATACAGTAGTTGTCCAACATGGAACCCCCTGGAAAGAAGAGGTTTCCAAAAGATATTCATTCAATGCGCAATTTTAGATTTCTGCATTCATGTCGGTACATCGTCCCAATTCTGAAGTATCCATGGGAGAAGGTGTACGGAGTAAATTTCCTACATACAAGGTGGTGATAGGTGGTGCCCCCCAATTGTAAGTTGGTTTTTTTTTGACCCCATTTTCCCACTAACTATAGATTTTATCTGCCATAAACCATATTTAATATATACTAATAGATAATTTGTATAACTATAATTATATATATATAGTTCTGTATAGTTATAACATGTTATAACCAGACATTACCCTGCCAAAATTTACCCAGCCCATCCCGGCCCACATGTCCTTGACGTTGCCTGCGTTGCCTTCTGCTTCACTTGCCATGGCCATGGCAGTTGGCCCCGGTGGGGCGGGCATGCCGCAGATGTCAGGCAGCCCAGAAGCGAGTGGCTGGAGCCAAGAATGCTGAAAAAACATGTGAGTTCTGTCCATTGGTACTTGCCATGGCCACCAAAGATCTTGGTCGAGTTTGGACATTTCTGCAGTCCAGAAGTGAACATGACCACAAACAATGCAAGCATCGTGAAGAAACGTGACAGATTCAACTCAACCCGAAAAACATCATGAAGGGTGAACGGGATTAGAGATTGTAAAAATGTTGTGAACATTATATTGAACAGTGAACAACTGAGACAAACACCATCATTGTGCTTGGCTCGGAACCCTCTGGGAGCAAACAGAAAAAATACTGAAAAAAGAGACTCCAATGACTCCAAGATCTCCCGTTTTCTTGTCACGCCCTGCCCCCCCCCCACCGCGAGCCGGACCCAAAGTTTGCTGCTCTGGACTGCCCGCAGGCTTCGTTTTGAGAACGAAGGCAGCAGTGCCGCCCATAATTAAAGTTTCATTGACCCATGAAGGCCATATAATTTCTGCCCCGGTCCAGCATGGTCCAGCTCAAGTCAAGGTGACTTGTAGCCAACCAGCCCCAGAGATGGATCTTTCCCGTCCCAATCCACATCATTTTGCACCTTAACACTGCCAATGCATTGCCGGCCCGGAAAACGATAAGAGTAAAAAAACGATAACGATGCTCATACATATACATTATATGTTGGTTATGGGACAGGTTGAAAGCACCAACCAGATGATATACCATTGGTCCTTGGGGTCCTTTTCCAAGGATTGTGTGACTGTAACCATGGTGAATCATCAAACAGCATTAATATAGTAATTAAGTAATTTGACCGCGCCAAGACAAGTGGCTTCAACGTGATTGAACCACCAAAAAAGTTGATTTGACTACCCAAAACAGTGGGTTTAACCACCAATAACTTGGATTTAACCAGCCAAAATGGGGGTATGGCCCAAGTGTATCAACTAATATTGGTTGAAAGCTGCAGGTGATTGTCCAAACAAGGGGTTGATCCATCTCTGGGACAAGAAAACCATCAACAGCCATGAGAGTCTCAAACATTTCTTTGTCGAGAGCTACCATCAACGGCCAGTGTGATTACACACGCAAAATTCATCTGTACGCGCTGTACGAGTCTCCAGAAAACTAGACACATCTGGTGACACTGAGTCAGCTTGAGGCGCAACCGAAGGCTGATAGAACCTGCTGGATGCACGAAGTTAATTCACGTTAATCCAAAATAAATGTGTTTGCTTGTTGATGTGTCATTCTCTTGAAACATGTTTGTTGAGGTGTCATGATCTTTCTTTTCCTCAAATCCGTTAAGAACAAAAACGTGACTGGGAAAGTAAGCGACTTGGAAGATGGTTGACATCAAGAAAAATCAAGAGTCAATTTTAGGCAACAAAAACCAACCGGGACGTTCTCGGACTATTGATGCATATTTCGTATTTTGATGTATGTTGGCTTTCAGTGTCAGCAGTGAAATGTCCAGTTGGGGCTTCCGCTTCAAACCCTCTGGTGCCATGGCGACATTTCACGCTTCGCGTTTTGCATGGCGACGGCACGGCTAGGTGAGAGCGGAAGGCTGCGTTGATTCTGACATCGGCCATCATCGGCCCAGGTATTTTAATGCATTTTGTTTACTCATCAAATGGAGCATAAAATCATAGAAAAGAAAAAGGCCTGAAAAGACTACAATGATTTCAAGATATTTCAAGATATGTTTTGTTGTGCAAGTTAAGCCACCGTACATCCACCCAACAATTTGCAAACGACTCCCCTTAAGACTCTCTGAGTCAACGGATCTGAACTGATGGCCGTTGCAAATCAAAACAATCGAAGGTTGGTGGTGCAATAACCATCTTGAAAAATGATGGACTTCGTCAATGGGAAGGATGACAATCCATTTATATCCATTTATTATGGAAAATAAAACATGTTCCAAACCACCAACCAGTAAAGTACTAAACTCTCCATCGAAGGTTTAAAACCTAAGGTTTACCCAGTAAAACTATGTATATACAAATTATAGAAACCTGCCTTTCTTGGTCAGGAAATACCTCCAACTATCGGGCATCCACTTGCCAGAAACCCAGACAGAATCAACGACTGTAAGTTGGATGGCGCTGGTGCATCTGTTGCACGTTGAGGCTGCCTATCCGCCTATCCGAATTGTGGTTTGGCGCTTTTCCAGGGGGTCAAGGATGGTCAAAAAGGATTAAAGGAATGGGAAATCATATACATATACATATACATATACATATACATATACATATACATATACATATACATATACATATACATATACATATACATGTACATATACATATACATGTACATATACATATACATACACATATACATATACATATACATATACATACACATATACATATACATATAGATATACATATACACATACAAATATATATATATATACATATGTATATGCATCTATGTTATCTCTCTAATAAATGGACCAAAATCAGGGTCCCAAAAAAATGAATGATAAATTCCACCAAATCAAGATCAAAGTCGTCCCTTGGTCATCCTTGTTTTCAGACTTCAAGGGACCGTAGAAAGCCTAGAAACTATCTTTAGAAGCTCCAGTACACACAACGGAAACAACCGCATCATCTCTAGAACCTGTCTATAATTCTACACTGGTGTTTCCAATGCATGTCACTTGGGTGTAACCATCCCAGCTACGGATGGAAACCACAAATATTCATTTGAGACCATAAACATTCAGTAAACCGATCCAACCCAGGATGAGGTGTAAATCAAAGAAGTATGTGTTGATGAAACCAGAGCTCTCCCTCCTCATTTTTGTCCTTAAATCCATATGTTTGATAGGTGCAAATGCCCCAAAAAAAACGACTTGACCACCCTGAAACTTTCGCTTATCCCCGTCAAAACTTCGCATACAAAAACGGCGCTTGAGCGCACGGCGCTTCAGTGCTGGTCGCTTCGCACCAGCAGGGCCAAAGGCCTTGACCGCCCTGATCAGTGGAACTGCAAAAATGTTCGACATACTTGGATATATCATTATATATATATATGTATATATCCATATATCATGATATATATATATATATATACATATATATATATATTGTGAATGTACTGGGAAAACCCTGTTTCCAATATGGTCAACCCTGTTGAACCTACCACAACTGTGTCCCCAACACAAAACCCAATGCTCGTAGCTTTTCCTTAACTCAAGTAGCCGCTCCCACCCACCACCTCAGTGGGTTCGATCAAATGGCCACAGAAAGGATGGCGATCGGACGGCGCAGTGGTGATCTGCCAAAATCAAGGATATGACATGGACATGGACATGGTGGGAAATTCCTGGTGCATTAACACTGGTCAAAATCCAAAATTTTTAAAGTTTTGTAGCCTTGTCCATGTCCACCTTAGGTCCTTCTTCTCTCAACCACTGAAGCCGCTCACGCTTTGAAGCGCGTTGTTTCAGACTCTCTTGTTCATCAAAAAGAGAATATCTACCTGTACGCAAGCATTCCCTCAACATGCTTGAATCCATACTCTTTGTCAGTGAGTCTGCCAACATCGCCTGCGTGCTGATCCACCGCATTTGAACATTTTCTTGCAATCTTTCCCGAATTAAAAGACATTCTAGGGTCGTCCTGTACTCATTACAGCTTGGGACGGCTGTGCGAGTGACGACATCGTAAACGCTCTTGCAATCGGTCACTGCGCTAGCAGAGGGTGATTCACACAAAATCTTCGTGGTGTCGGTCCAATCAACCCCAGGATTTTTCAGCCATTCCCAAACCACACGGACATATCCTAGCCTGTCTAAAGATGAACTCAGTGCAATTGACTCTGCACTAAGAGTCGAAGTGACGACCCATGGGATCTTTTTGGAGCTCCATGCCATGGGACAGACGACTGTCCTTTCATTTCGAGAAAGCTTCACATCCGTGGCGAATATTAATGTTCCCTGTCTAGAAGACATGTCACGTGATGTCGAAAAGGAGGCATCGGAAAACACACAATATGCCACCTGATGCTCAGGTATAGGGACAATCATCAGGCACACAGGATGCTTCTTTCCTTCGAACAGAACCCGATTTGCTTCCAGCAAATGTTTCACCTTGGCTCTTGTGACCGTGGATTGCAGCTGACCTGTTTTTGCACAAAGATCAGGTCTTGTGTGCACTGCGGCATACTGCAGGCTGCCACATAACCTGCGCAATTCTTGACGCTCTACTTCAGTTACTTCTGCTTCAGGGTCACTTCTTCTTGATCGGGGTACCTCTATGGGAGAAATCTTTTGGACATATCCCACTTGATCCATTTCAATTGAACCATCGTCCCACTGTTTATAGTGAACCCCACAGAAGTCAAATTCCCTTTCATAGTATGCCCCAAAGTCATAGATTTTCCGGAGCCTTTCGATGGTCTGCTTAAAGTAATCATCTCCAGCACCAATCCCATCATCAACATGAATACCCAGAACGCCTCTAACAACGGGTTTCCCCTTAGGATTCTTGGGGTCATGAGTTATCAAGCTGAAGAGACAACCATCAAAAGGACATGCAACAAACCCCAGAGATTCAAGTGAAGCCCGTAGAGCCTTGTACCAAAGAAATGGAGCATCGACCCTACCATAAGCTCCCCCTTCCAAGGAACACTGATCACCCTCCTTCATATGAAGGGCTTTCTTGATCTCTGGAGGTGCATGTATACCCAGAGGACGTCCATCACCTTCCCCTTTCAGGAAGGCTGTGGAGATATCGAAATTCATCAAACACCAGCGCCGCAATGCTGCTTGCTGAAGCAACAATTGCCTTCCATCCTTGGACAGTGTCGGGGCATCACTGGGTACAACCCCTACACCTGGGTCTTCAAAACCTAGGATTACCAACCTGGCCTTTGCCCTCTTTTCGGATGTACCTGGCAATGGATCCTTCCACGTCAGCAGCCATCTACACCGCATGATTTGTTCCGGTTTCAGGGAGCCCTTTGCTAATTTCTTTACAGTCCCATGTGCCAACCAAGC